CGATGGGCCCATGATGGAAGATTGAGCGGCTCGTAGAGGGCCAAGCAACGAGCCCAGAGCTTCGAGACGCAATTCTGGTGGGAGGAAACCGGGAGTGTCATCTGCTTTCTCCACTGCCACGGAAGGTGCTTCGTTGTTCTCATCTTCCTTGATCGCTGAGACGTTATGCATACTCCATACTGACACCGCGATCGTGCGCCCACCATTGCTAGGTGGGTCGTCAGAACTAGGCTCAAGATCTGTGTCGATGACTTTCCAGTGCCATGCATTTGGCTTCTTGATCTCGCGCTTGCGGTCTTCAGCCACACCGCGTATGGATGTTTCGCTGATGGGGCCGGTGTGTAGGAGGTCGTGCGTCGGACCGTAGTAGGCGATTGCGCGTACGCGTGTCCAGGACAAACTATCTTCCTCGGTCATCGGATGCAGTTGGAGTGGCATGGTTGTGAGGTAGTGGTTATCCAGCGGTACGATTAGCGTCGGTCGTATTCAGTCACGGAGGGTTCACAAAGGATGCGACATTTTCTACAATACAGAACAACATCTTATCATTACCTGGACGCCGTAATAGATGGCTCAGAGCATCAATGTAACTGAAGGCGTCCAGTGACATGCATTCTCACCACAGCACGATGCAGGAAGGAGCTATCGCGATGACGTAGATGCGTACCTACCTTCCGAATCGAGAAGCAGTGCTGACATGATACAGTCGAAAGCACTCAGAGGCCAATATGGGATTTTATATGCAACGTCATCTCAAACATGTAGGAAGGAGGCACCGTTGAACCCCTCCAGGGTGCAGCTGCAGATAGGTGGGGTAGAAAGGTAACCCCGCTATCCCACCTGGGCAGTTCCCTGAACAGCAACCGTGGACTCATGAAGAGCTCACAACAATCACTCACTAAAACCGCAGCCTCCTTAACAGAACTCCAAAGTTTTAACCAGATGCCAGGTTCTGAGCAAGTTCAGTGGAAATCGTTCTGTTCAACCAACATTTTCGAAGATGGACGATTTAACCGCCACTGCTCTACCGAGTCTTCACCACCTGCATGCACAAACGACGAGCATTCATCCTTCAAGCACACCCAAGGACGCCCATTGGCCACATGAACCCCGTTCGTACCACCGGTATGAAGCCCGTCGATATATTCTACAACTAATATGTGCAAGTATGCGCTGGCTTGACATTATATACAAATCTCGCATACTGCGCCGTACACATACATGAACAGAACTGCCTGTTCCTTCCTTCCACCCATATCTACATGTTCACCTAGCTTCTCTTTTCCCTTACAAACTATCTTCTCTTCCTCGTCACACACCCACTATTTCCATCACATACAGTCCCGTCCATATCCAATACCTTCTCTTTACTTCCACGCATCTTCCCCTCGTCGATCTCCTCAACCCCCAAATATACCAACCATGCATCCACACACTCTCCTCCCCCTCATCGCCCTCTCAACACTCGTCAACAGCCTGCCCACCCCCCAGTCTACAGCCTTCCAAGTAGCAGCGCCCGACTACGCAGGATACGTATTGACCCCAGCTTCTACACTCGACGTCACCGGCAGATGTGGGCCGAACTTTGGAGCAACCGTTCGTTACGTTGTCATAAAAGGAGGATATAGATGTCGGTTTTATCGGTACGTTGATCTCATGCTGTTGCGCTATCACAGCTCATGTTGGGGTATGATGTGAGGAGTGGTGTTTGGACTTGTGTGTGCTGACTGAAATGTGTGACAGCGATAATGATTGTAGAGGACAGATTGGCGGGTTTGATGGGCTGCCGGCGCCTGGTGGGCAGCTTTATCAAGATGCGAGGTCGGCGACCTGCTGGCATGGGTAAGGTTGGAGGTTTTGGGGATGGGGTGGGATGTGGGATTCGATCAACCAGATGCATCCGACCCGTTCGAAGACGCGGCACGTCGAGACACATTTGACTAATATATGCACGCATGCGCTGGCTGGATTATTCATATAAAATGGAGTAGACTGTGCCGTATTCATACATAGGCAGAACTGTTTAGTCTATCCTTTTATTAGGGTCTAATATACAGCTTAGCCTCTGCTTCCCAGCTTTCTTCCATATAAACCATCTTCTCATCTCGTCAAATATCTACTACACGTCCATCACACAGAGCCTCTTCCATACTCTATAGCTCTCCCGGTTGCCTTCACGCATCTTCCTTCCCTCTTCAACATCCTTACCAAACACACAAATCAACCATGCATCTATCCGCCCTCCCACTCCTCTCCCTCATCGCCCTCCCAATGACCGCCAACGGTCTGCCCACCATTCAAAGCACAACCGCACAGCTGGCGGATGACGTAGCAGGCCTTTACGCAGCCAGCCCTTTCTATGCTGCTCTCTATGTCAACGGCGGATGTTCGCCCAACTTTGGTAAAACTGTTACGCTCGTCAGGATATATGATGGGTATAGGTGTCGATTCTTTCGGTATGTTATGCCGCACTATTATTTCCAAGTGGGGTTCTAACAAGTTTCTCAACAGCGAGGATAACTGCAAAGGACGGATCGGTGGGGTTGAAGGGTTGGCGTCTCCGGGAGGGGATCTTTATCAGCCTGCTAGATCGGCGACGTGCTGGAGAGGGTAGTTTGGATGTTTTGGGGTTGAACTAGGGCATAGGGTTCAATGAAATACATCTATTGGCAAACACAGAGTAGCCTTCATGGTATTTCGAATAGCTGTGAAAGAGGTCTTAAGCGCAAAAATGAGCAAACCCGAATGCATGAGCACTTGAGTGTTAAGTCGTCTATGCTGTTGCTCGCTGCAACAATTCGGATTAAACTCGTCGCCTTATTGCTCATACCTCACGATAGCAGCAAGCACGTACTAAACAAATGTAAAGCCTCTGTTTTCTCGTAACCTTCGCGTCTCCACGCTCACGTTTCGCGCACTAACGTTATCAAGTGGATCACATCCACGCCGCGCCCCAAACTCCCATACCTACTTTTCAAACCAGTCCAAGTACATCCGCAATACAGCGCACGCCCATCTAACCCTACGGAGATACCACATGCGATTCATGACTGTCTCCCACACCTTCCCTCCTCCTTCCTATCGCGGTATCTCAACGCCCAACACGGTCCATCCGCAACCCGAAAAGAAAACCACAAACCTATCAAATCGCCCATCCATCATCTTACTTCTTCACACATCAAGCCACATTCCACATCTGGAATCAACACTTCACCTCCAAACTGCCCTTTCGGGAACACTTTCGAAAACATACTTTGGTACGCGCTTTGGCACCGCAGCATGGACACAACGCGGTCCATGATCTGACCCCGAAAAACCAAATCCAACCCCCAAAACAAATTCAAATGTTTCCAAGCTCCAAACTCTCGCAGGTGGGACGCCTGAACTACATTCTACGGTTGTAATGTCGTATTGCCTAATTGGGGCTGTTTTGTGTGTCGAAAGTAAAGTTTGATGGTACTTGCAACGTCTGGAAGGGTCTTCAGCCTTGTCTTAGTGCGGAGGCGAGTAATTCTCCTCAAGCCTTCTGGAATCTATGGAGATGGGGAACTTCCTGTTTCGGTAGTTCGATTGTTTGGTAGGGGGCGTGGGGAGTGAAGTATTTGGGATTATAGACGGTTCCAAGGTTCGGAGTGTTTGCGCGGGATGGGAGGGAGAGGTCTCTGGGGATAGAACAGAATGCCGGATGCGCTGTGTCCATCATCTCCGTATTCTGTATGCTGGAACGCCCTGGACATGGATGCGCGACGTCGATTTTGCTAGTCCTCTGTATTCGTGGGAAAGCCTGGCATGGCTTGTATACGCTGTCGTCAATCCAAATACTTCTTACTCTTCATTCAGCATTCGTTCACGTCGCGTGACATCTTTGACCCAGACTCCGTGTCCAGCCCCCTTTGCTTTTTCGGCGACGTGTCCAGTCGCCCGCCGTCATCCACACCTTTCCAAGCTTCCTTCATTCTTTCCCATCTCGGCATCTATGACTGCCTCGCTACCAAACTCCTCCAACCCCTTAACCAGACCTTCTTGCTTCCAGACCCGGCTGTTCGATCCAAGGCCGTCTTCTTCTGGTTCGTGGATCTTTTCCCGATAGCGGGATCTACCATCATCGATGGGTTTCCTGTTTCCTTTCCTCTTGCGGTAGATTCTGACCGTTGGATGGGCGGTGGCTAGGCGGGATGGGGGATGGGCGGGGAGAGGGTACCACGGGCCGGAGTCTGGCAGCCGTTGACTGGAATCGATGGTTTATGGTGGGCTTTCCTGTTTGGGAAGTGTGCGGGAGGCGCTGACTTTGGGAGCTGTATGTGCGGTAGTTGTTAGATTGAGCGATACGAGGTTTACTACCGGAGATGGAGTCAAGCCCTGAAGGCGTATATGATGGTCGCCTCGCACACGGATTATCGGCGTGTCCTTATTACTCAAGATGCTGCAGTTGCTTGATGACTCCAGGGCTGTGTTCCGTGGGGTGCCGAAGCACGATGCGCGAGCCTCGTGGTGTTGCGAGCCATTGGGAAGCGAAGGTAGCTACGCGTCCACGGTCGCAGCAACATAGCTAGACAGCTAGGTAGATTTCGCTAAAGAACATGGAGATGCGGAGTAACAGCTGCATGCCACATCTTCCATACATCCAGGTGCTCAGCCTCGAACGCCGTCGCACTCTACACAATCTCACCCGCCCTACCCCAACATCACCAATAGACGATGACCACTTTCTCCGATGCCACGAAAGCAGTAACACGCATGGGAAACAAGTAAACCCGATTTCCCAAACAAGCGTGTCGCCATGTGCCGCGGTATCCATGTTAGCCCAGCAATGACGTAGCGAGTGCGCGGATGCTTGCGCAAATCCCGCCAGGAACATCGCTATTGCATCACCGCGACCCACGTCCCAACCCTTCCTCTCAGTCCTTTCACGAAACAACATTTTTGCCTGCAACTCCTCTCTATAACGCATCGAGAAACGAACGAAATACCTCAATTGACATCACGAGACCTCTTTCAATATGGATGTAAGTGTGGAGTTGTTGTAGGGACGGTTGATGGCCGGGGGTGTTTGCGTAATGGACGAATGCTGATGATGAGGATTAGGTCTACTACTTCTACTCCTACGGCACTGCCGCATGGCTGGGTAAGCTCTATATCCTTCCACGAGGACACCGTGCAGCTTGCTAATACAAACACAGCGACCCAAGCCGCGCCTCTGATCGCGTCCCCCACAATGATAGTAGCATTGTTGTCCCCCGAAGTCCGCGAAGCTTCCAGTACGTATATACTGAAAGCCAGGAAACATGGCATGCGATGATGTACTAACAAGAATGATCAGCTCTCGAAGTCTACTTCTCCCGCACCCTGGGCCTTTCGCTCATCGCCCTGGGTATCCTAACCGTCCTCCTCACGGGGTCTGTTCCATTGTCTAGTCGACTCTCTGAAGGTACTTTCCCCTCTTCATTTCCCTTCCATCTGCACACCAAACTAACACCACCACAGGCGCCACAACCAACGAGGAAGACCCGAAAGCCCCCTACGCCCTCCCCACGCTCACCGTAACCGCCATGTTCCACTCCGCCCTCGCCTTCTACGGCTACGCCATGTGGACGCGCACCGGCGTCATGGCCTTCAGCTTGGGCACACTAGGTTCCGGTTTCCTGGCCATAGTGGCACTGTGGTGCATCTTGTTTGCGAGCAGCAATGGACGGATCAGCAGGAAGACTGGGGCGGATAAGAGGACGTCTGGTTTCCCGTTCAAGAACGCTGAGGCGGAGAAGAAGAAGGGTAGGTAGATCATTACTTGCAATCATGGAGCCTTTGCTGGCTTCGAGGGGTCATAAGGCATGCTGCGGGTGGGCGGATGGGGCATGGAAGCCATGTCTGCAACGGCGAAGAGGCATACAATGATAGTCATGCGGGAGCAAGGCATGGAAAACTGGCATTGGGAAATTGTCAGACGGATTATTGGGATGGAAGCTGTATACTATGGAAGCATTGAATCAATTGGTATCTTTAAACCTTGAATGTACCCAAAGACCCGTGAACACCCAGGTTTCTATCCCATAGTAATACACAAGCACTATCGAAAAACAAGAGGGCATGGCGCCGACATCTCCCTCAACACCAGAACTTCGCGCTTGTCCACCGCCTCGTCGCCGCCGCGCTCTATCATACCAGCACCTCTGCCACTCACCCATGAGCATAACGCCTCCTGGCCGGGCCCTTGTAATTCAACTGCTCCTCCACCGCGTGACAGCGGTCACGCCAATGAACGCACTCCGCATCCAACCACGCAACACGATCCACCAGACCTAGATATTCCAGCGAAGCCTGCGACATAGGAATTTGACGCAGGCGCAGCGCTTCCAACCTACGATGATGTATACGCTGCTGCAACTGCAGAGCCATATCCCTCTCCGCGGGATTCAAATATTCCAGTCCAGGCTACAGAACGGATACCTGAGGCTGGGGCTCTTCGATAGGTTGGATATGCGCGGGAGGCGGCCTAGGCTGAACCGCTTCCTCCTTAATCCGCGGTTGTTGCTGAGTGTCGTCGCGCCACCACGGCAATTTGCCTTCTCGGGGTAAGATGGGCAGGGCCTTCGCGGGCTGGATGTCGTTTTCAACGGATTGCCAGCCTTCCATGTCGTCGGGCATGCCTTGATCGACGCGGCGCCGTCGCTCGGTTGCGGCTTGTGCTTCCATGTAGTTCTCGAAGAGGAGTTCTTTGGCTTGCCATTCTTCCTGGCGGGTGTGTTCGAGCTCCTCGGCTTCGGCGCGCAGTTGTTCGCCTTCTTGCGTTGCCCAGAGGAGTTGGCGGCGCAGGAGTTGGAAGAGTTCGGGGGCGGGTCGCTGGAGCTCTTCGGGTGTGAATTCGATGTCCGATGGGAATTGGACGAGCGGTGGGGCGGAGGGGTTGGCGAGGTCTTGCAGGTAGATGACGTTGTTGTGGGCGTAGTCGGCGTCGGGTGCGGGTGCGGGTGCGGGTGCGTTGGACGGGATCGTCGCGCTGTTTGGGGGGTGCGAATGTGAGGAGGGAGACCCGGGTGTGGAGCCTTTGTCGTGGGGCAGCTTCTTGGCTTCGTTGTTGAGGACGAGCTTGAGGCGCTGCTTGTTGTTTGTGGGGTTGGAGGAGTGGTGCTTGGGGACAGGGTCCGAGGGGCGCAGTGCTTCGGTCTCGTGGACGGTTCTCATATGCTTCGCCAGCGCGTCGGAGCGGGTGAAGGAGCGGTCGCATTCTAAGGGACTTAGTATGACAGATGCTATCGAGATTGGTCTGGCGACTTACCTGGAAGGGTGCAGTAGAATGGCTTCTCCCTCGTGTGGGAGCGCATATGTGCCCTCAGCGCATAGCCACTAGCGTGTGGTATGCCTTTCCTTGTGCAGTCGCTCCACTCGCAACTATACTTCTTCTGCCGTGTACCGATATGGTCTTCATGAAGATGTTCGACGAGGTTATCCATGTTCTGCAGGTCACCCGCCGTGCAGCCGTCCCATTTGCAGACAGTGACCTGTTCCTGGCCATAGTCGTCGTCTTGCGACATGCCCGGGTGGTGGTGTGGCGACGCGGGCACAGAGCCATCTGTGTCTTCCGACAGCTCGTCCTCTTCCTCGGGCGGCATGGTATTAATATGGGGTGGTGAGGATGGCGCGCGGATATTCAGGCGTGGTCGCTTGTTGGGGCGCTGGTCGTGGTCAGGAGTGGCTTCGTAGCTGGCATGGCGGCCTCCTTTGATGTCCTCGGGAAAATCGTCGCTGCCGTACTCGGAAAGTTCTGAAGGCGATTCCATGGCGGCGATTGATGTGGATGTGAATGTAGCGGTGGGCGCGTTTGGAGAGCGTGACGATAGCTGTACGGCGCGTTCGACGTCTAGCCCGAGGTGCAGGGACCACCCGTTTAGCTCGATATTTTTGGGCAGCTTACTTACTTCCTCTTCCTTCCTCCTCGTCTTGTGATCACTCGATTGTAATCACACCAAGCTGTACTTTGGTCAGTTGGCTATGCGACGGCGCTCATTCGTCGGGCGAATGTCCATTTGGACGTCTCCATTCTTTACCACGGTAACGAGGCTGGGTGCGATATGACTTTGCTCTACCTCCCTCCAACACCACGCAAACGGCTATAGGTAAGTTCTTCCACCGTCTCCTTCATCTCATCACTATGATGATCTATTCCAGAGTTCTGCAATTCCAAAGAGTCGCTTCACGGCGGCTCAAATGCGGATTAGCTCTACACTACAATTCTTTCTGATCTGCAATTCTATACACAATCTTAAGCTTGCTATATTACAGCTACAGTGCTAACAAGCTTCAGACTAGATTCTTAGTTGTCTATGCGAACAGCAATGCCGACTGCGACTCATGGTACCTTCCTCCAATCGGCGGGAACTTCTTCAGCATCTCGTCCAGCGCCTTCATGTCCTCGTCGTTGAGTTTCGCCGGCTTCATATTCTCCTCGATCCTCTCCGACGTCGTAGCACCAGGAATTGGGATGATAGTTGGCATACCCTTGGCACCGCTCTGCGCGAGAACCCAGCCGATGGCAATCTGAGCTGGTGTGGCTCCCTTGGCCTTCGCCATATCCTCAACAGCGTGGAGCAACTTGATGTTCTCGTCAAATACGTCAGGCTGGAATCTGGGCATGTGCTGAAGCATCGAGTCGGGCTCGATGTCGCTGTACTTCTTGTACTTGCCAGTCTGCAATGCATTAGCGGTAGGTCGTTGACTGAGAAGAGTCGCGCTTACCAGGAATCCGCGTCCAAGAGGAGAGTACGCGACGATGGGAATACCGAGCTCTGCGCACGTCGCCGCGACACCATTCTCCAGAATGTCAGTCGCCCAGAGCGAGAACTCGACCTCAACGGCCGAGATGGGGTGCACGGCATGCGCCTTGCGGATGGACTGCGCACCAACCTCTGACAGGCTGATACCTCCGAGTTTGCCTTCCTTGACATACTCTGCGATGTAGCCGACAGTGTCTGCGATGGGTGTCTTGGGGTCGACTCTGGCGCACTCGAACAGATCGAGGCTCTTCTTACCATCCAGCACCTTCAAGCACTCGTCGATGCTACGCCTGACGTTCTCCCGACTGCCATCGGGCGCCATCTCACCCTTCTTGAGACCACCCTTGATAGACAAAACGACCTTCTCTGCGTCGCCGGGGTACTTGGTGAAATACTCGTTGAGCAGGTGTAGAGAGTTGCGCTCCGGCGATCCGTAGAGCTCGCCGCCGTTCCAGTTGTTCGCGCCGAGTGAGAGTGCTGTGCGCATGGCTTCGTAGCTTTGTTCGGCTGGTGGTGGGTTCTTGCGCCATGTCAGACCTGTGATGTATTAGCGAAGCGATTGCGAAGTAGGTAATGATGCATACCCATGAGGCCGTAGCCAACAGGGCCTACAGTCTTTCCGACAAGTTCAGGCATCTTCGGTGCTTCTTTAGAGTTTTGAGACTGGTGGTGGGGTAGATAGAAATCCGGCAAATTTATCACTCTAGTACCTCAATGGATTGTGTCGCTGTTGATATCGTGTAATGTCCTGTCCACCGTACTGCCACCGAGTCTTTATATCGAACCGACGGTCTTCTCGGGCCCGAAGTCATTTTTATGTAACTGGATGTTGATGACGCGGGCTCCACATTCTACCTGCATCTGCCGGGTCCATTGAGATCTTAACTCCGGCCAGCCAATCAGGCCCGGGTGTGGCGGAAGAGAATGGACTTTACCATGATAGCTCCAGTGGAATGTTCGCGCGGTGTATGCTATTTAGGGGGATTTGAGGATGCAAAGGAGGGCGAGTTGGTAAGCTGGAGTTACGAGATGGCATCGGGACGGAAGGCGGATGAGCTGCGAGTTGCTTGTGGTGGTACATGGATAGCAGTGCGAAGAACTGGAAAGGGCGTTTGTGGTAGCTTTTGAATGGACATTTGCATGTGTAATAGCGCATGTACATTTGGAGCGAAGTTTGAATACTTTCTTTCGAATACACCCTTGAAAAGACGATTTTTCTCACATAACCCATCCACCTCTAGAACGCTATACTACAACACAAATACAATACCAAGTTAACCAACCCATCCCATCATCCCTTAGCACAAATTCCACTCCCAACGCTCTCACTTCATCTTCTTCCCCTCAACCCCGCTTCTCTCAACCCCATCCAAATCCCTCAACACCTCCCTAACCGGCCAAACAAACCCCTCCTCCACCCTCCCCGTCTTCCCCTCTTCAATCGTAACAAGATACTCCACAAGCGCCATACCCACATACGCGCCAATCGCCGTAAAAATATGCCACCACCCATGCAATTCGAACAAGAAACCCCATGGCAGACCAACCCATCTCTTGAAGACTGTAACGTAGTAACACGCGTGGAAATCAATGTTCCACAAGAAGTATCCGAACAGGCCGGTGGAAATACCAAACGTAGCCATCCTCCCGAGTTTTTTACGGGCTTCTTCAGACGTGATTTGCACTTTAATAAGAGCGCGCGTGTACTTACTCACCAAGAAAATCATGACCGCAAACGCAATCTCATGCAGAATAATTTCGTCGGCCCAGACGTGGTACACGGATACTGGAATCAGACTTCCTAGGATGTACGCCGTGTACTTCCTCCTCTCATTCACCGTAGTTTTGAAACACAGCAGCTGGTGCAAGATGGCGCCGACGGCCAGGAACATGGATAGGTCGTCGCCCATTTGCGAATGGTATTTTAGTGTTGCGTGGAACCAGGCGCTGAGGAGGCCGACGGAGATTAGTCCCCAGTAGGGGAAGGCGAGGGTGGAGATGAGGCCGCCGGTTGGTTTGGGGGCGACGCGGCGGAGGCCGTGGAGGCCGTAGATTACTGGGGGGAGGGTGAGTTTGGGGAAGAGAGGGGATGGAGATGGGGATAGGCGGACCGTAGGTTATGTTTGTGAGGGTGTTTATGAATTCGCCGATGTAGGGTGTTATTATGTAGTCCTGAACTTAAATTAACTTCCAAGATACATATTGTTCCTCTGTCTGATCTCGCGTACCTCCTCACAGAAACTACCCCAAGTCAGCCATGTCCAATTCATCATGCATGCAACTCACTTGTGATTCGACGTCTTTGGCTCCCACGCCCCGACGATGTATTCGTTGGGACTGGGGTAATCCCATCGCCACTGCATTTTCAATTGCGAAGGCTGTGAGCAGGAGAGTTGGTGTTGTTTTCTGATGTTTTGGGGTACGAGGTGACGTTGTTGTTTCCAAGGTTCTCTGGTTTTCTACTTGCAGCAGGAGGGTTCGCGCTTTGACCCCTGATCGCGGTTCCACTTTGCACGCTACGAAGAAACTATACGAAGACGCGTCGAAAAGCAAACAGACACGAGGAGAATACAGCAGTAGACCTCCTTTGAGAATACGGATTGAAAGTTGAGTTGCGAAATAGTTGTGACGTTGGACTGCAAAATTTTCTAAGCACGGCAAACTTACAGGGCAATTAAATCCTCCTTCTTCATACAACGTTAGAAACATGCCTTAAAACAGTTCTAGGAGTTGAAGACGTGATTGTAAGAGTGTTTTAGGCGCGGGCTATGTCTTGCTGAGTAGATAATCAAGGTCCTTGTGCGGCAGACCTCAAGGCAAAAAAAATCGGTCCTTGCACGTACGCGTAGCAGTGTCTTGCTATGACTGCCGGAAGTGCAAAAAATGGGTCTTACCGCGACTCGAACGCGGGGCCTCTCGCAAGCTATGCTTGGGTTTGCAAGTATCCGAAGATGCTTTCCCTAAGCTGTAGAAGTTAGTATATGCCTTACATGCACTTCGTGAAGTCAGAACTTACCGAGAATCATACCACTAGACCTGGTATTTGTTAGATGGTGTTTATGGAACAGGTCGTGTGACCACCTGGGTACTCACCATAAGACCGAGCCAACTGCTGTGAAGCTGTTGTTCTTGTTGATGGAGAAATGTCAAATTATTGAAGACATGTCCTTATTGACACCGACCGCAATTCTGATCACCGCGCGCTCCCCTGGGCTTCTTACGATCACGGGTTGAGGCTCCACCGTGGAGCTTGAGGTTTGTTGGCCGAAAAGATGCCGACATTTTGACCAGGTACTAGAGGCTTGGCGGAACATGCAAACCTTGGAACTTTGGGCACAACCGAAATAACGCAAAAAGACAGCATGCAAGAGAGAAATCTATCCTTTCCGAAGTAGGTTGTTGGTTCTATGCTTTGGCAAACGGTATAACTGGAATGGCCTTAGCCGCGTCTTGATAGAGGCTGTCGTCTGGTTCCCCGTGGTACTATGGTCAGCGATAGAGTCTACCCGAAGAGACTGCATTTAAACATGTCCAATGACAGAGTGCGTCTTTGTCCTAGATTAGGGATTAGCATCTGTTTGAGTTGGTTATCGAGATGGTATACGGGATGTTTGCGATGGCTTCCAAGTTGACACAACCTTGCAAGGGAAGCCTTGCCTTTTTATCAGTTGAAGCTGCGCGGCTTTCAGGTGCATTTTACAAACTAACATGTGCTATCTATTATGATAACACGGCTACTGTTCACACGGAGACTTCGGAGCAAGCAGCATGGTGGGTGTTGAGAAGGCTGTCAGGGGTGGTGAGGTCGCGCCTGGAAGAGCTGCGGGCAGACCCCAAACACTCTCTTTCACTCAACCTCAAAACACCAGACGAAGAAGCGAAAAGAGGCTTGGCGGGATCCGAACACAAACGCACAATCGCGTAGAAATATACCATTTGGGCCGACCCCTCCTCTGCTACACCACGATTGCCTACACCACGACCACGCGCACCACAGATATGGCCCGCAAGTCCAAAGGCTCCGGCCAGTCGGGCGCCCCTCCCAAGTCCAAAAGCTCCGGTCAGTCGGACGCACCCTCCAAGTCCAAAGGCTCTGGCCAGTCGAACGCCCCTTCCACGCCCAAAGGTTCGGGTTCATCGGACGCGCCTGGCCTATCCAAAGGAGCTGGTCTATTGGATGCGCCTGACCTGTCCAACCTTCCAGGTCGGTTTGCTTCAGATCCAACTGCCGGAGAAGCAACAAGGTTGTTGCAGCGAGCTCGTCGAACCATCACCTACCCCGACGAGGAGATCGTTCGTGTCGGCGCTAAGACCAGCGGACATCTTCCTGAGAAGGTCTTCACGACGCTTCCGCAGTTTAGGACTGCAGTCTTCCGATTGCTCGTAGAGCGACTCAAGGTTCATGGTATCCTAACGGACACTCTCAAAGAGGCGGACTTCCACTGGTGCCTGCCCACTTCGTATGTTAACAACGCAAAATCCTCTTGGATCTGAAAGTCAGCTAACATGTACAGTCTCATGGACCAAGACAAGTGGCGTGTACTATTCGAGGACCCTTTCGTCGTTCCGACGTGGTGGCTTGAGTTCATGCTAGTCATCAAGGTCAACAACGCCGATAGCCCGTACCCGCCCCGTACCGGTAACACCTTCTACATCCGCACCTTCACATTCAAAGTCGAAGATGCCAGGGCGGTCTTCCAGGCCATGCTTCATGATAGCTGGGATAGTAACCCGAACATCTTCGCTATCCTTGAGAGGCTCGAGTTGCTCAACGCCTCAGACCAAGTGGAGCTGCGTTACTGCGGCCAGGTATCCGGGCATGACAGACCCTGGGAGAGGCATCTCTCCGACATCTACAAGACGTCACTCAAGACATGGTTTGCACAGTTCGTCAAGACAGTGGGCATGATCGCTGTGGATACCTTGAAGACTTCCCAAGTCCATACGGTTGAGAAGGCACATTCGGCGGCGGGGTTGAGCGATGATGTCGTGGATCTACGAGAACAGATTCTGATCGCCTTGTTCGGAGACAGCGTCCTTAACAGCGAGTTCGGTGGCAAGAACATAATGATTCTTACCAAGGCAGACCAAGACGCCTTCGATTCACTGAAGACCAACTTCCTGGTTAGTAACACTGATGCGCGAACTGCATTTGAGACATACACTAACTTTGTACACTCAAACCTAGGTTCCAGTTGAGAAGTTGCCATTCTGTCCCATCCCGATGCTGGACAAAGTCAAGAAATACGCGGCTAGTGTGATGAAGTACGCGACAACTCACCCAACCACGACAACTGGCTCCGGCAAAACAAAGCATAAGTTTACCAAAGCCATTGGAGACATGCTCGTAACTCAGGGTAGGCCAGCAGTACTTTCCGATCACTCTGCAGTTATGGTCTCCGTCGGCTCTGATCTTGGCGACACCCATAAAGACGAAGAGGAGACGTTCTGGTATGCCGGTGGCCGATCTGCAGATGCCGTTTCAACTGTGTACAACCATTTTGGTCACTGGGAACAGGGGGTTGTGCAAGCCTCGTTCGACAATGCGCTCACGCGACGTTTGGCAAGGAAGTCCTGCCTCCCTTTTACGGATGTGTTTCCGTGGCCCGTCAAGCATGACGAGGATTATCCGGCTGCTAGCAAGTTCTTGCGCATGTATATGGACATCGTCAAGCCTATCGTTGTCTTAACGTATGGCCTTTTGGTATGTAAACTTCCCTCTTGACTTCTGATTCCACTAACACCTGATTAGCCTACCTACGCCGCTCGACAGAACTTCGCCGGTTTCACAAAGAAGGAGTATTACAATGGAACCAGAAAACTCAACTCAGAGAAGGCTTTCACCGATCAAGTTGGCCATCCCGAGCTACGTGCTTTTGGCGGTGGCAGTGACACCGCTGTTGGACAAGAGTGCGTGGTCATACCGAGTTTCCACCCAGGCTTTCTCGGTTACTCAGGTGTCACCAAAGAACAGGTCTCACGGGTGCTTGTATTGACTTCTGCCATCGCATGGAAGGCAGCTGGCTTAGCGATACAGCTAGACCAAGATCATGTCTCCCGGACGAGGAAGCGGACTTGCCAGGAGATCATCAAGATCCTGAAAGCTGATCTTGAAGTCACCACTATATTCGGCAACACCTTTCACCAGGCGAAACAAGACTATCTCTTGGCGTACAAGGCGTTTCGAGAAGGTTCACTGGCTCACGCCACCGGACATGCTATCAAGAAGCCTCCCACTGGTATTCTGGCAGGCAAGTCTGTATCTGGCCGTAGAAGCAAGCGTATCCGCGGAGAAGGACAGTCGACAGACTTCTTTGACGACGGGTTTGAGGTTGTGATCCATGGAGTAGATGACTACTCGGTCGGCGATAACAAGACATCCATACGACACACTCTTTCATGGGAGGAAGAAGAAGGTCGAGCATGGTCGCTCTCGCCCATCATTCTACCGTCTCAAGTCATGGATAGAAGGTCCAAGAAAGGCAAAAAGTTTATCCTGCACTAGTAAGTTCCTTTCTCAACGATACAAGATACGTTATTAACCTTATCTATAGCTCATCTGGGGGCATTGACATCCACGACAACGATGGGATATCCCAGGGTACTCGCAAGGCTACACTAACGGGAAACACAAAGCTAGAGACGCTTCCCATCGCGAGTCTCATAATAACTTTGGGCGAGACGCACGGATCTGATCTATTCTTTCAACACTGGGAAGAAATCACTGGCTCCAAGATTGAGGACGTCCTCTACGGAATTCTGCCTAGGAATTTCCCTACCGTTGGTTCGGTGGCCAAGCCGGGTGAGTATTATCCGGCTTCGTTCTTCGAGAATTCCAGGAGCAAGCGCACTCTGCCTTTCAGCTCCTCGGGCGTGATGAAAAAGGAGGATGTTGACGGCCTCATCTTCGAAGCCAGCAAGCACCTGCCAGTCAACCCAGGAGACTTGCTATGGCTGATTGATCGATTCTTCCAGTCTGTGGTCATTCCCGCTGGTGGCACGATGGACTTCTTCTACCCCTCTATTCACCCCACTGTCAATTCCGTGTACACTCTCATCGCGGCCTTCTGCGCTGAGGGGACTTATCGACATCACCCTCACTTGAGGACCTTCCTCGCTTTCGCCAACATGAGTGAGATGGGCGAAGATGAGCGCGGGGTATCGAACAACGCTCTCAAGACCGCTGCAGGAATATTGACAGGTTCATACACTGAGAAAAACGTTACCAAGAATGTTGAGATCAACGGAGAGAAGAAGAGTCCGGGCAGGAAGGTACTCACGCTGGGACAGGATAGGCCTTCCGACGTCGTTCGCGAAGATGAGCCCGAGCAGCTTGAACAGGATCTTGTCCCAGGTGACGACGTAACTGACGATGAGATGAGCGAGAGCGACGGCGAGGACGCGAGTGGTACAGGTGGAATGTCAAGGGGTACGAAGCGATCAAGGGAAGAGGATGAAGATCCTGGAGTAGGCTCGAGCAGGACCGATAAGCGCAAAGCACGACGAGGTCCCGTTGTGGAGGAGTCCGTTGATGACGACATGCTATTCGACTTGTGATTTCCAAAGGGAGTCAGTCGCGATGGACTGTGTCCGATTATGAGGCCTTAAATATCCTCATGCGAGTACGGCTTTCGTGTCTTGTACTGTTGCGCGGAGTGTAGCTCCGGGCATGTCCTCGTCTGTGCTCAACACCAGACTTGGAAGGCAGAAGTAGGAACTCAACACCTACATCGCCGCCAGTACGCGATACACACGATACAGAAAATATAAAATAAGATGCGTTCTTACCAATTCGTTTCGATGGAGGGCTTACAAAGAGTGAAACTTGCCTGAATCACATATGTACTGTCAGATGGCTAGGTACCAGACTTTCCAGGCAATCTTTGCGATCATGGCGCTGTAAAAAAGGCAACTGCTGTGAAGCTGTTGTTCTTGTTGATGGAGAAACCGGCAAAATGTACGTAAATATAGGCACTACCAGCTCGTTCGTGGCGAATGTCTCTTTCCACCGAAAATTGTGGGGTTCTAACCATCGGAACTGTGGATTCGATGCCAGTGATGGTTGACGTGGCCGAAATTAGCCGCAGGCTTAGGCGGACCAGGGGCGGCAGATTGTTGCTCGAACACCAAGTCTTCGCATGGGTACTGTCGCTATTACTGAACCGCAGAGGTTCGCGATCGTCGACTATAGCTGGTACGGTGTATCGAAGGTGAATTTCGCGAATTTGGAGGGTAGGGGGGCAATTAAGGCGACGTCTGCTTGATACGTCTCACCCATTCTTTGCGATTTTTTGTTCGCACGAAGCACTTGAGCGCAGCCATGCTCTATCTAAAACAACGATGAGAGATGGAGTTGGATTGTAATGATCTTGTATGAGGAACAGCGCGCTGATGCGATACATACTCAAAACCGAAAGTTGATGACGCAGACCATCTCCAGCATTACGCCTTCGCACGGCTCGTGTCTTCTCAAGTATGCGCCACACGTTCGGGAAGTATATCTTAAATCGCACATACAGGTGTTGTATGCAGCAAGAAAGCCAAACACTGTCGCGATCATTTCTTCATATTTTCTGACCGGCTCACGATCGCTGCGGGCTTGATTACGGCTACGATGCTTGTAGTGTTACGTGCGTTGTCAACACGCATTCAAAGCTATTCTTTACCTACGCCTACCTAGGCATACTGCATACTGGCTAGGTGTGTGATTTACCAAGCCAAACCTGCTATCACAGCGCTGTGATCGAGGCAAGATTTGTACGCGTATTATGGCGAATGGCCTGACTTTCTGAGTCGTCCCGCTTCAACAATCCCATATTGTGAGGATCCTGGTCGACGCGCAGGGCGACGCAATAGGTTAGCCCAAACGCGAACATCTGAAGCATGAAAGCCCGATCATCGATGAGCAAGTCCGATGTTCGTCACGACTCCGATCATGAGAAGGCATCTTGGACCTGCGCCGATGTCAGATGCGCCTGTGCATGCGACAGACGAGTATCCTCAATAAAATCGCTTCCACAGAACATCTCCTTTGTCGCAAATCATCTCAGTCATGCCAATGCGGTGCGACTGCGATGCGTCGCCGTTGATGGCATCGCGATGGCAAGGTAAAAGTCGGTAGAGCCAGCGTTGCCAAGCATACCTAGGTAGCAACGATCGCGCTTCGTCGTACGTTCTGAACCTTCAAGCGCATTCCTGCCCAATCACCCACAACAAGAGTCGGAAGCACCACCTGCTCAGGAAACATCTCCAGTCACATGTAACATCGCACATCGAAGCAACCACCTTAGTCGGATCCCGGCAGTCTGCAAAAAGAGCCGCCGGTTCGGTTAAGATGCCACTGACGACATCCACACATGCACAACGCGGGTGAGGCGATCTCCACAACTCTCCGGGCCTGAGCGCGTCTTTCTCCACCTCCAGCCTAACCCCAGAGTCGTTTTTCCACAAATCACACGAGCTCCGACACTGACTCGATCTCGTTTCTCTCCGATGGTCAAGACGGCAGGCTTCTCGGCATGCGGCCGCTATACCTGGGTCGGTAAATCCATTTTAACCATTTTACCTGGCTGTCCAGGGCTATGACCAACGAGTATGGAGTCTCCATGCGGAGCAAGGACTCGAGTGGAGACGGCTGCTTCAAGCGATATGATTATCACGTCGAGCACAGCGGCGTGTAGTGCCGACTTTCTCGACCTTTATATTCGTCCCTCCCCACGCTTGTGGATCGACAGGTCGAACGACTGCCATCTCTGCATCAACCCAAGGCTCTGGACAGGTCCCGGTCAAGATGTTCGAAAGGTTTCCTAAGATTTACAATGTCTACTTCTTGGCAATTGTTGCCACGATGGGTGGCATGCTCTTTGGTTTTGATATCTCTTCGATGAGCGCCATCATTCCGAGTGACCAATATCTGTAAGTCGCAGTGACGTCAAACACCTTACCTATTGATCCCTAACAACGAACAGCACCTACTTCGACAACCCAACCGGCGTTGTTCAGGGAGCTATTGGCGCGGCCCTTGCTGCGGGCTCAGTGGTTGGCAGTGCTATTGCTGGTCCTATCTCCGACAAGTTTGGTCGTCGCGATGCCCTTATGTTCGCCTGTCTTTGGTGGCTAGTCGGAACTGCGCTGCAGGTTGCTACAACTGGTCGCGGCATGCTTATCGCCGGTCGTGTATTGAACGGAGTCACTGTCGGTATCACTTCGTCTCAGGTCCCTGTCTACCTGGCCGAAATCTCCAAGCACTCGCAGCGTGGTGCCATCATTATCATTCAACAGCTCGCTATTGAGTGGGGTATTCTTATCATGTAAGTACACTGAACACACGAAGTAAGCCAAAGCTAAAATGTCGCAGGTACTTCATCGGTTACGGATGCACTTTTATTCCTGGCGAATCAGCTTCATTCCGCACTGCTTGGGGAATTCAATTCGTCCCCTGTGTAATGTTCATGATCGGTCTCCCGTTTCTACCAGAGTCTCCACGATGGCTCGCAAAGGTCGACCGTGCTGAAGAGGCAATCCACATCCTGGCCTCCATCCAAGCCGACGGCAACATCGAGGACCACTATGTTATTGCCGAATACGAGGAGATCATAACTGCTCTCACTGCGGAACGTCTCGCTCCTCAAGGATGGCGGAAGTTTGTCTACAACGGCATGGGGAAGCGGACTCTTGCTGGTTTCTCCGTCCAGGCCTGGCAGCAACTTTCAGGTGCCAACGTATGTTATATTCACCTCGCGTAGTTTCGTTTTACTAATGACTCTCAGGTCATGACTTACTACGTCGTATACATCTTCGCCATGGCTGGCCTTGAAGGCAACACCAAGCTTGTTTCCTCTGGTGTGCAGTACGCTTTGTTCATCGTCTTCTCGTCCATCATGTTCTTCTTCGTCGACAAGATCGGCCGGCGAACACTTCTGGTTTGGGGAGCCGTTGCGATGGGTATATGCCATCTGGTCGTAGCTGGAATGCTCGGCGGGTTCTACACATATGTCCCTGGTGGTGTTGGTGGCGACGCGAACGTCATCATGAGTGTCACCGGGTCGCCGGCGTACACCGTCATCGCGTTTTCGTACCTTTTGATCATCGTAAGTACCTCTAACCATTCCACATGAACCATACACTGATCCCACATCTTTCAGTTCTACGCACTTACCCTCGCGCCCATCTGTTGGGTCTACGCCGCTGAGGTCTGGTCATTAGAAACACGCGCTTCCGGAATGGGTATCGCAGCTATTGGCAACTGGCTTTTCAATTTTGCTATTGGACTGTTCATTCCACCCGCGTTTGTCAACATTAGATGGGGACTTTTCCTCGTTTTCGGAATCCTCTGCTTCATGGCTGCCGTCCAGTTCTTCTTCACCTACCCTGAGGTAAGAAAATCTGGAATTTATGTCATGACTTCAGCTAACTCTTCGAACAGACTTGCGGCAAGACTCTTGAGGAGGTTGAATTCTTGTTCAGTAAAGAGGGCCCACACGCTTGGAAGACCAAGAAGGGTAGCGACAATCTTGCGCGCGACCTCGAGAACGTTGCTGCTGCGCAAGCCAAGGGAGAAGCGCTTGCTACTATCAACAATGTCGCAAAGAAGGAGAAGGGCGAGACTGAGACCACTGAGGCGGTCTGAGTGGTCTGGAGTATGTGGCTATCAGCGCGTCAATCACCGAATAGTGTGATGCTCGGTTTGCCTGGAACGAATCGAATTGTTACTTTGGACTTTAACTGCACTTTGTTCTTGTTGAGTTTACTGAGACACATGAATGAAATAATACAGCGTTCTATTATAGATCATTGCTATTTACGTCATGCTACTAATTCCAATCCTCCCGCCAGACCCCCACCTTCTTCAAAAAGTCTACCTGCTTCCCCTTCGCAAACTCCATCGCCCAGTAATTCCCATCCCACCTCTCCCACGCGCCCTTCCAGCTCGTATCCAACCACCCCGTCTTCTCAACCGGATACAAAGACCCCATGCCGGATTTCCGTACTTGGTCCATGATATCGGTCGCAATAGTTCCACCCCTGGCTATCAATCCGCGTAGTTTGACACTAGCCTTGAAGATCTCTACCTCCCGCGCTTCCTCAAGTTCCTGTCTGTAGGTATCTAGTCTGGCTTCGCGGGCTTGGATTGCGGCGGGGAGGTGGCAGCGGGGGATGAGCGGAGGCCTCTTGACGCGTTCGAGCGGATGAGTCCAATCCGATATCGAAGAAGGGGAAGTAGACGATGAGGTATCGCTATCAGGTGTGCGGCTACCAGAGGTACTAGATGAACGGATAGGAAACGGTGCTTCGCGCATAAACGCTTGTTCAGTCTTCCCGATGTGAATATCCCGGGCTTTGACGCTCTTCCTCAGTCTAATCACCGCGTCTTCCAAGCGCGTGTTGACGCCTTGTTCGCGCTTGTAGTCTCGTTTTAGGGCCTCCCTTACTTGGTCTGCTACTGAGAGCTTTTGTTGGAGGCCCTGGACTTCCCAGTGGGCGTGATCTTTGACTTTTTGGTAGTAGTCTCGAATGTATCGGAAGTTCTCCAGCTGTTGCTCGGACATGTTGGCTTC